AAATTTTAAACAGAAACAACTATCAGAACGTCCAAAATTATTTTGTCCGTTACTTTATGTTGAATCGGGTGCAAAATTTTAAACAGAAACAACTATCAGAACGTCCAAAATTATTTTGTCCGTTACTTTATGTTGAATCGGGTGCAAAATTTTAAACAGAAACAACTATCAGAACGTCCAAAATTATTTTGTCCGTTACTTTATGTTGAATCGGGTGCAAAATTTTAAACAGAAACAACTATTTGAACGTTCAAAACTATTTCCAAAAACAAAAGTAACATCCAAATAATATAATGATGACTCCTTTGACAAAACAATGTTTATATGTTTCCTCTTATAACAAGCAAATCGTTGGACCGATTGTCACCAAACCTGGCATGTACCCTTCGGGACCTCTCTGAGAGCGACATAGAATTTGATCTCTCCCACTTCCCCGGCCCGGCATGGCCAGGTGGTTAGGGAGCCCGACTCGCAATCTGCGGGTTACGAGTTCGAATCCCCGTAACACCAAACATGCTCGCCCTTTCAGCCATTGTGCGTGATAAAGTTACGATCAATCCCACTATTCATTGGTAAAAAGAGTAGCCCAAGAGTTGGCGCTGGGTGGTGATGACTAGCTGCCTTCCCTCTAGTCTTACTCTGTCCTCGTGTAGCTTTGCGCGAAATCCAGAACACCCAAACAAACCCACTCCCCTTTAGTTACTCCCGGGACCTTATGTCTTACCCATCCGTTAAACAGTACGTCAGCTAGTATTTCTTAGTCCATGTAGAAGTTGTCTTGTGCGAGGAATATTGTGAAATAATTCTATCTGGAATAACAGCTACAAAGTGATTTTATAAAAATTAGAAATGTTCTTGTACATATGTTTTTATTATATGCAGATGTATATGTCTGTTTCCCCCTTTATTTGTCTCTATATACATATATAGGAAGATACAGACATCAGCAACTAATTCCCGAATAACGTTACAATTTACCTTCTAAAATGCCCTGTGTTATATTGATTACATTTAAATTAGACTTAAAACAGTTGATTTCATACACCAGTCTCTTATATTTGTCAGCATAAAACCAAGTAAGGAAAACAAAACAAAAATAAAATTACAATAATTTTTTTCGTGATTTGCCATCAAAAACAGCTATTAGAATGTTCAGGAACTTCGTAAGTCAAGTCTTTTCAAGCGATATCCCTATTCTATTTCGTCAGCATGTACAGATACCTGTAGTCTACGTGAACACGTGAAAATACTTCTATTCTATAACGTGCAGATACCTAAATTACGTCAGCATATGCACATCTAAGTGTGCAGTTTTAACTATACTTTATTTATTTAAGTTTTATGTGTATATTAGAATAATTTTAAATTTAATCTTCTATAACGAATCTTCTTTAATCAAGTTGCTGCGAATTATGTATACATATAAAAGTCATGGGCAAGTTATCAACCCGGTACAAGAAAGAAAATACATTATATTTAAAGCTATGCAACGTTGGTGTCTTCTTATAAACATTAGGGTACACGTTAAGGCAGCAAAAATAGTATAAATGACAATATTAGATAATGTTCCTCTTCCTTATTTCTTTTGGAATCATTAGATTGTAATTGCATACATTGCTTTGTAGAGGAAAATAATTGACTCATTTAACTGTCTGTAAAGTCTATAAAAAAGAGGAAATGTGCCCTATTTCAGGGGCTTTTTATATTCTCTTTCCGGGAAAAAATATCTCAAAACAAAAAGCCCAAGCACACCGTCGGACAATTTCCAGTAACCATATAAAATATTACGTTTATCGAACCAGCCAAGATTGGGTAATGCAAGCCAAAAGTCTATAGAGAAAAAAAGTGGAATGTATCCTATTTCGGAGGATTCTCGGGCAAAGGTCCTAAAATAAGGTAGCCCTTATAAATCGTCGGAAGGTTTTTCGATTTCCATACAAAACATTATGGTAATCGAGCCACCCAGTTCTGGATGGTGGATACTAACACACAGACGCGCACATAATGAATCATCTTTATAATAAGATATAGCTAGCTGTGTAATCCAGGTTAGTGTGCATGCGTATTAAAGACTCCCAGAAATCTAGATTTATTCTTCGAGAGCAATCAGATGACATAATTTCCTATCTCTAGTTAGCCACGCCCAAGCTTTAACTTGTAAAGTCACATTTTCAACTTTAAGTACCACTGTGGTAATTATTTTTCGAAAATATCTAACAGTTACAGGAAACAGACCAGTATTATACTTCATCTTTTCTTTGATGCATTTGCATTTCTTTGATGAAACAACACGAGGGATAAAATTCCCAAACTTATCCTCATAAATCAGGTTTTAGTATATATCATATATGGGAATTTAACTAGAGTTTTATAACAACAAGAACACATAAAGTGTTAATTTATCAGTTAAGTATAGACTGTTTTATAAACATACCTATTTTTCACTAAATTTAAACTCGTATTTCATTTTATCGGGCTGAATATTATTGGTTCAAATAACGTGCATTAATCATATATTTTCTTTCAATATAACATTTATCTGGTAAAATTAAAAGTGCATATTTAAGACTTCTCAGACAGAGAAATGTAAAACACGGTTTTGTAGATAATTTTAAGACCTCTATTACTGCGGGAATGTATTCAGCATATATAACGGACTCGAACTGTGGACTTTTCGATCCACAGTACTTAATTCTAATTACTAGGAATTTCCTAGAGATGGTACTGTGGTTATTTATAAGCTGATGAAATCACTTGAAAATTTCAGTTTATACCTTATGATCAGTGCAACAACAATTCTTAGCATAGACGTAGGTATACTATCAGCGTTATGACTTGCATTTAATGATATTCATTGCTAAGCTCTGGTGAGAGATTCCGAACACGAATTTTCGATTGAGCGATAAAATGATATCACGCTAACAAATGAAACATAAAAAAATCATCCGTGTATATTGTGGAGTGATAACTAACAAAATTAATTGAACAAACATTCTCTAAGTCTCCAGATAAGGTCAACACCTGCTCATTCTTCGACATCAAAATAATTTTGTTTTAAGTAGGCGTATCAGGGTAGTAGCCAGCATTACGGTGTATGTGTCTGTGTGGACCTTCAACTTACGGTGTAAGTGTCTGTGTGGACCTTCTACTTACGGTGTATGTGTCTGTGTGGACCTTCTACTTACGGTGTATGTGTCTGTGTGGACCTTCTACTTACGGTGTATGTGTCAGTGTGGACCTTCTACTTACGGTGTATGTGTCTGTGTGGACCTTCTACTTACGGTGTATGTGTCTGTGTGGACCTTCTACTTACGGTGTATGTGTCTGTGTGGACCTTCTACGCAAATAACTCGTAACTTATATAAGGAAAGTATCTAAAACTTAAGAAAGTAAAGACGAAGAAGATGTCATATTAATAAGCTATGAAATGTAAACGTATTTTTAGAATGGTCCTTCTAACCCATCCCCGACCCCCATGGCTACGCCCCTGGATGTATTACAAATTACTAGTTATGAAAGCAAGTCTGAGAATAACGATTATTATCAAAAAGGTATACCATTACTATAATGTTTGCTATTATACTGTGATATTTCAGATAACGTGGAAAAGTGTCTCAAAAACTCTAA